GAAGAGAGTGCATAATCTGTCATGATTGGTTGTTGAACAAGGCAGCATACCCAAACCCTTGGTTATGATGTCTTGTGACTTCATGCTAGCATAATCATTGGTGGCTTCCAAACAATTTCATCTACTGAATTTCACTCACAATGCTTTGGTCAATCTGTGGTGTGATGTTCAGGCACCTCCCAGCAATGTCACATATTAGGATCATCTCCCCAGGCTAATCATATCAAGAGGGTACCTCCTTGACAAATTGACCATAGTGGGATGCAAACCTGGGTCTCATGATTTGGAAACCTAACATTTTAACCATGTAGCCATGTGATCACATCTATCTAAATAAATAAACAGAAAATCCTGTCTGTCTGCCCATGTGTCTGAAACCCCTCTAACTTACGCCACACTTGCTCTACATAGCCATATTATACCTTTTTGGAATCCAGATGATCAAGATGATTGAAAATCTGCACTTCATCTGGTGCTTGAACATCCAGTATTGGGATTTGTATTCAGATGAGCAGGGAACAGTTGAAAATTCAAATTTTAAAATAAATGAAAAAAATTAGTGGTTTTAAAATTTTTTAATTTATATTGAGTAACACAAAACTTTGTGAATTTAAAAATTTTTGTTTTAAATTCAGTTTAAAATATCTTGGAAACTTTGTGAATTGAGGAAATCAATTTTATTTCTTCAAAATGCCAAGGAATCAGAGTTAGAATGAGAGGTTTTGTCATGTGAGGTTTTGAAGTTCCATGGAGTTTGTGATTTGAAGAACTCAAATTTCAGCCTGAATTGGAATTTTGGCTCAAACCAGATGTTCAGCCCAAATCGTTTTTTTTTTTTTTTTTTTTTTTTTTTTGGCCAGAATCAGACTTATAATGCAAATCAGAATTAAAGTGAGGCTTTGAAGTTCCATGGAGTGAATTGAAGAATTCAAAGTTATTTATTCAAAATTATTATTGCTGTTTTCTAAGCTGAACCAGAGGTCTCTTTAGTTTAGGGCCAGAGGCCCAATTAACACTCCACAGGAGATAGCTTAAAAGACCACACAGAGTGCAGCCTTTAAGCTTAGTTACTAATAATATAATTTCATTTATACTCTTAATAATATTGTATAGATAAAGCAACTAATATAAGAATTAAATAAATATTAAACAAAAATTAATAATAGTTGACAAATGTTCAGCTAAGAAAAAAATTCATGATTTTATTAGTTCCGTTGTTTTTTTTTTTTATCCCAAAACATTAGATGTTATACTTCCTTCCTTCTGAAATGAATTGTTGTTACTATTATACATTGATTTTTTTTTTTATCAATTTTCTCATCTTTACCACTACATTTTAGCCACTGTAGTTTTTGAATTTTTGCAGATGTCAGATTTTGTTAAGATGAGTCGTAAATAATTTCCGTTTATTTTTATCAATTTTATTCTTCGGAAAATAAAGTACAAAAACAGGGTGCGATGGATAAATTGTCGCCATTTTATATATTTAATTTTGCGTATGCACATTGTTTGTTTTTGATTTTGCTGACTGCTCAGTATGGTAGGGTCAGTTAGGCACTATAACGTAATTCACTCTGCCAGAAATTTGGAAACGGCATGTTGTATTGCTTGGCATTCATGCCAGATGCTCCAATACGAACATTTCAGAGTGTTTGGGTGTCAATCTGAGGACAGTGCAGAGGATTCAGAAAGAGCTGGATGAGTCTAAATGGTAATTATGAAGGTGTTTGAAGTGATCACTAGTGATGGTGATATTATGCTTCCATTCATCATCTCACAGAGCCTCAGACTGAACACAGTTGCCTACATCAGGTACCTTGAAGAGGTAGTGCTGCCCTGGGTGAAGACGGTAGCTGTCAACAGTAATCTGCACTGGGCTACACAACCAGTCATGTCTGTCAGACAATTTCTGCGACCACATCACCCCTTATATCTGTCCACTTAACTCCCCAGACTGCCACACCTTGGATTATTATATGTGGGGCACAGTTGAGCGAGAAATCAACAAAATTCCTTATAATACCAAAGATGAACTGAAAACAAGGATTATGGCAGGATTCATCAACTTAAACAAGGAGACTGCCCAGAAGAGTTGCATGAGATTCCAAAGTCGTAAGGAGGCCATAGATGAAGCCAATGGAAATTTTATTAAATAAATTTACTATTTGGTATTTCAAGATATTTTTGTGCAATTTTGTTAAATATGTTTGTTAAAATGAGATGTCTGTTATTTTCATTTTTGTGTGATTTAGAAGACAATTTATCCATTATTCCCTGTATATTTCATCCAATTATCTATTCATCCCTATTTCCAATGACTAGTTGCCTCTTGAATTTGGTTTTCATCAGAAAATGTTTTCTCCATCAAAACATTTTGCAACAATCAAAAAATGTAATATTCAGTTGGTGCAAGGTCAGGTGAATATGGCAGGTTGGCTAGAATAAACCGAGTTAAAAAAATTTTTCCTGCATTATTCTTCCTGTTTTGTTTCCTGTTTGTGGCCTTGTGTTGTCACAGAAGAACAATATTTTCCTTTTAGTCCACTGTGCATGCTGCCAATGCCGGAGAAAAACTAAGGTATGTTACTATACTCTGAATTTATTCTAAACTGTCATGATGTGTAGTTAAGATGATACATGCATCATCACAACTGGTTCTCAAAAGCAAAAATTACTTATGACACAACCTAATATTTCATAAACTGTGATGTTAAATGGAATCTTTTATTTGATGCAATTAGAATTACTGGAAGGTTGCCATATATGACTATCAGATGAGGAAGATTGGATCACCTGATTGATCATGTTTTCAGGAGTGTTGCTGTATTCACTTGGCCAATTGCAGGTTGGTGAGGCAATTTAACCCATAGTTGGATATTTTGAATTCAGAGTTGTTGTTCTCCTAGACTGGCTGTTACCCAAGGCTAAGGAACCCAGTCTATCCTGCTATTTACTCATAACTGAAGAGAGAAGAGATGGATTCCTACCTTTCCCAAGAATATTTGCACACAAGTGAATGTAACAAACTTGACTGGAATTTGAACTTGGCTCTCTGATTTCTCAATCCAAGCTGCTATCCATTATGCTACCATTCCACCAAAAACAAGGGTAACAAGAACTAATCTTAGAAATTTAGACAGAAAGAAATTTAGAAGATAAAATAGTTGAAATACAGGGATAAAGAAAAGCAAGATGAGGATACTGGTTTGAACAAATGGTAATAGTAATATTAAACATTTCCTTATAAGAAAACATTAATCATAGACCAAGTAGCCACTACTGAGTTGAAATTTATAAAATATCTCTCTTCAAAGAATTTTTCAGGGCAATAAGTTTCTCAAGTCCAGTAGCTGTTATCACTCTTTCCAATATTGACAGGATCTTCTTGCCTTATGTTTGAGGTTGTGTGAAACATAAGCATGAATATATAAAATTAATAACATTCAAACATGTAAGAAACTTTTGATAGTGTTGAAGGATTTTGTGAAGCAGATTTTTAACTAAGCATATATAAAATATTTCTTATATGTTTAAAAAAAAAAAAGATATTTTGGGTTTTTTTTTTTTTTTTTGTAGATCTATTACTCAAGATTTAGAATTTAAAGAAAATTGTTTCCCACAGTAAAAAAGTTTCAGGATAAAATGAAGTCATCAATTTCAACTTTGTTAAGAAAAAGTTGCAATTGATTTGAGCAAATGTGTTTTTTTTCGTAATGGGGAATAAGCTATTCTTGGTGAATAAATCTTATAGGAACTGCATCAGAGGTAGGATCAAAAGCAATAAAGGTAGCACTCAGTTGTCTTGAAGGAAAAAATGGCTTTGGAAATGGTATAGGCAGAAAGAAAAAGAAGAAAGAAATTTTGGTTAAGTTAGAAAATGTTTTTAGCACTTATTCACTGTTTTCTCTATCTCCATTTTTATAACACTTTTTTGTATCTACAACACAACCTACTCCATTCTTTGCATTGCTTCTGTCTTGTTGACTACAACATCCATGACACAAGAGGAAATGCTTTTTTTCTTTCTTTATTAAAAGATAGTGGTGAATCCTCATTTTTTTTTCCCCTGCTTGCTAGGATCTTAGCAGTTCAGTAGATTCAATTGTGGCTATTATACAAATACAGAGAATTAGAGAATGTACCTGAAGAAATTCATGGTTCAGTTCATATCTGAAGAATGTATATACACCATACCCTCATTTTTTGGGTGGTGACACTGAAAACTGTATATTTTCCTGACCTTTTGCTTCTGTCATTTGACTTGAATTTACATTTTTTTTATTCTTTACTTTTTTCCCCTCATTTATTTCAATTTTCTACTTTTAATGATTTTTTTTTTCCTTTTTATTTTCCCTTCTATGTTCTCATTTTTTATTTTATTTCTCCCTTGTACATTATTCTTTCATTGTTTTTCTTCTTTTTTTCATTTCTTTTCTCTCTTTCTTTCTTTGCTTCCCTTTAGGCTTTTCTTTCTTTTGCTCATCATTTTCTTTGTAATATTGTGTTCAGTTCAGTTTCTTCCAGTCTTTACAATTTCTTTCTTCACACTTCTTTTTCTCCATCTATTCCCCCTCTCTCTCTCTCCACAAATAACTTTTCTTTCTCCTCTTTTCTATATCTCCTTTTCTCTTTCTCATCCAATTCTTTCTCTTTTTTTTTATTTTCTTTCTCCTCTCACTTGCTACTTCTTTTCTTTCTCCTCTCACTCTGCTATTTTTCTCTCACTAATTTTCTTCTTTCCTCTTTTCTCTTTCTAATTGTTTTCTTTCTTTTTTATTCTTCTCTAATCTTTTCCACATTTTTTCTTTCCACCTTCTGTTTCATTTACCCCTGCCTTCTTTCTTTTCTCCTTTGTTTTACTCCTCTTCTCTTCCACTCTTTTCTCTCTTTTGTTTTTAATTTCTTTCCGTTTTTTTCCTTCTTCTTCTTTCCACCTTCTTTTTTCCTTTCCCTATCCTCTTTTTTTTCTCTCTTCTCCTATCCCCTTTCTCTCTTCTCTTATGTCCTTTATCACTTCTATCTTCTTTCTCTCTTCTCCTCTCTTTCTCACTTCTCCTTTCTCTATTCTCTTATTCCCTTTCTCTTCTCTTATCCCCTTTCTCTCTTCTTCTCTCTTTCTCACTTCTCCTTTTTCTCTTCTCCTATCCACTTTCTCTCTTCTCCTATCCCCCTTTCTTATTTCTCTTATCCCCTTTCTCTCTTCTTCTCTCTTTCTTACTTCTCCTTTTTCTCTTCTCCTATCCCCTTTCTCTCTTCTCCTATCCCCTTTCTTATTTCTCTTATCCCCTTTCTCTCTTCTCCTTTCCCTCTTCTCCCTATCCCTTTCTCTCTTCTTCTCTCTTCTCCTTTCTCTTCTCCTATCCCCTTTCTCTTCTCTTATCCCTTTCTCTTTCTTCTCCTTTTTCTCTTCTCCTATCCCCTTTCTCTCTTCTCCTTTCCCTCTTCTCCTATCCCCTTTCTCTCTTCTTCTCTCTTCTCCTTTCTCTCTTCTCCTATCCCCTTTCTCTTCTCTTATCCCCTTTCTCTCTTCTTCTCTTTTCTCCTTCTCCTTTTTCCTTCTCCTATCCCCTTTCTCTCTTCTCCCTATCCCCTTTCTCTCTTCTCTTATGTCCTTTCTCTCTTCTTCTTTTCCCTCTTCTCCCTATCCCCTTTCTCTCTTCTTCTCTCTTCTCCTTTCTCTCTTCTCCTATCCCCTTTCTCTTCTCTTATCCCCTTTCTCTCTTCTTCTCTCTTTCTTACTTCTCCTTTTTCTCTTCTCCTATCCCCTTCTCTCTTCTCCTATCCCTTTCTCTCTTCTCCTTTCCCTCTTCTCCTATCCCCTTTCTCTCTTCTTCTCTCTTCTCCTTTCTCTCTTCTCCTATCCCCTTTCTCTTCTCTTATCCCCTTTCTCTCTTCTTCTCTCTTTCTCACTTCTCCTTTTTCGCTTCTCCTATCCCCTTTCTCTCTTCTCCTATCCCCTTTCTCTCTTCTCTTATGTCCTTTCTCTCTTCTCCTTTCCCTCTTCTCCTATCCCCTTTCTCTCTTCTTCTCTCTTCTCCTTTCTCTTCTCCTATCCCTTTCTCTTCTCTTATCCCCTTTCTCTCTTCTTCTCTCTTTCTTACTTCTCCTTTTTCTCTTCTCCTATCCCCTTTCTCTCTTCTCCTATCCTCTTTCTCTCTTCTCCTTTCCCTCTTCTCCTATCCCCTTTCTCTCTTCTTCTCTCTTATCCTTTCTCTCTTCTCCTATCCCCTTTCTCTTCTCTTATCCCCTTTCTCTCTTCTTCTCTCTTTCTCACTTCTCCTTTTTCGCTTCTCCTATCCCCTTTCCCTCTTCTCCTATCCCCTTTCTCTCTTCTTCTCTCTTCTCCTTTCTCTCTTCTCCTATCCCCTTTACTTCTTCTCTTATGCCCTTTCTCACTTTTATCTGCTTTCTCTCTTCTTCTCTCTCTCTCTCTCTCTCTCATTTCTCCTTTCTCTCTTCTCCTATTCCTTTTTTCTCTTCTCCTATTCCTTTTCTCTCTTCTTGTATCCCCTTACTCTCTTCTCTTCTTTCTTCATTTCACTCTTTACAATTTTTTTTCACTCTCTCTCTCTCTCTCTCTTCAACCCTCTTTCTCTCTCTCTCCTTTACCCTTCCTCTCTCTTTTCATTTTCCTCTCTTGTACAATTTTTTCTTTCTCTCAGATTTTTCTCTTGTCACTCATTGTCTCTTTCTAACCAGTTTTCTTACCCATTTTCTTTCCCCTTCATTTCATTTTTTCTTTTTTTTTATTCTTTTTCATTATTTCTTCCTTTCAAACACCCAAAGAAACATCCATTTTGATTCTTATTTTTCTTTCAGCGAAATAATTCAAGTAAATATCAATTCTACTCTTTGTTGTCATCCACAGATATGACATGAAGCAATCCACCAAAAAAGTTTAAAGGAATATACAAAATTTACATTGGGGTAAAGTGGCAAGACACATTTATTTATTTCTCAAGAGATACAAGTACAGAGACCTACATTACAGAAATTATATTCATTGTGTGGTTTAGGATTTTTAAATTAAACATTCAAAAATATTTAAGTAAAAAAAAAATTGACATATAATTCTTCCAGTTATTTTTATACTTATGTATAATTTTATGTGCCATTTCCCTTCAGGATATGAATGACCATGACTCTCTTTTTTTAAATGGGGCAAGAAATGGCTTGTTAATATTAATTCGGAAATTAAACTCTTCACCTTTAACCATCTTAGAGAACCCTATTTGACTTCTATCAGTATGGCTGATGCTAACCTCCAAGAGCAATGCATTACACCTTCTCAGTCTTACATTTTCCACTGACATGAAGTGGAATGATTATATTGAAGTAAATGCTAAGTCTGTTGCTAGAAAAGTTTGTTTACTGTGTCATGTAAGACAATTTTTCTCACCATAATCTATCTTACATATTTATGTCTAGCATTCACTTATTCATTGAATATGGCTTCCACATTTGGTCTGAGGCTTCTGCTATATATCTAGTGATTCTTGACAACATTCAAAGAAGAATCTGAAATATTATCAGTCTTAAACTAGCATGTTGGCTTCAGGTATTTTACCACCACTGTAATATAGTTTCCCTTTTTTTAGATATTTTCATGGCAATTGTTCTGATGAGTTTTCCTATATGGTATCTCAACTTCACAAATTTAAGTACAGTACTAGATTGGTAGCTAGGTCTCTTAATTTCACTGTTGAAATAGATGTAACTGTAGGTTTTATGCTAATAGATGTTTTTCTCCTGCACTTGTGAAACTTTCTTTTGACTTATTGCTTTCTTGTTAACTGTGAACTTTAAAAATTTAAATGCAACTCTATCATCATCTTTTTTCTTGTTGAAAACTGTTCTTTTATTGTCTTTTCTGTTTTATTCACTCTCAGTTACCCCCTTGCATCTTAGTGGATTTTATCACCTTGCTTGGAGTGAAATGATTAAAAACAACTCAATATGTCTTGTAAATGTCAAATTCTCAAATCATCCTCTCTGCATTACGTATCCCAGAAATTTAAACAATCTCTTTTTTATTTTAGTAATTTAGTAGTCATTTTAGTGGCCATCTTACTTCAAAAGTCCTCATTGCTCACATGCTTCATTCATAATCTAAGTATCCTTCTGTAGAATCATATGTCTGTTATCCTGTCCCCTCTTTCTCTATAAGAAAATTGTCTATTCACTTCCATATAACAGTATTGATATTACATAGAAGTTCTGCACATTTTCTTTGTTTCTCATGAAATTTTTCCTTTTCTTAATATTTTGTTTAGCTTTTGGAAGGTATCTTTCACTAGTCCAATATGCTTTCAAATTTTGGTGTCACATATTCTGTCATCTATGGCTAGTTTTGCCTTCAAAGTTGTCCTTCTTAGCCATGGATGAGTAAAGTATTTTCTTCATTTTTTTTTTTGAGGGCCACATATGTTGATTGACAAGTTCATGTGGGTATAAAAATACTTGAATAATAAACATACAGGAATTAATCCTTTTAATATTGAGAATTAATAATAACCAGTAACCAATAACTGATATGTTGGAAGTGATTAAAATCATGACTCTGTAGGAAAGTTATAACACAGAGTAAATAATTATAAACCCCCTAACATTTATATATACAAAAATATTTGTAAAAATGAGAAACAGCAAAAGACATGGAAACAACAAAATGCTTAATATTTATTATCTGGTTGTTATGTGGTGTTGAAAACATATGAGAGATTAATACTGAGTAAAATTGTGAGTTTAGGGTCAAATGCTGATCAAATATAGATTGGAATCTAACAGAATAAGATAAAGAATCAACAAAGCATATACTGTCTTTCTCATATATATTTTTTTGATAGATGTGTGTAATGAGTGTCCAGATAACTTAGAAAATACAAGAAGTGTCTGAGTCTTTTTTATCTCAAATTTTTGTTGAATGCTACAAGATAAATGTTACTACTATGGCATGAAAAAGAAATGAAATTTTCATTGACACACATGTTAATGACCTGTCTGTGTGAACTGCTTGTCCAAGAGAATATCACATATTTGTGCATGTAGAGAAGAAAGTAGGATCAATTCACATTGATTTAGAATGAGTGAATTAATGACAATTATAAATGTTATAATTATTTCATTATAATTATTTTTTGACACTATAATTAATTTTTATTTATTTATTTTTTCTGGACACAATAATTCTTATGTATCTGAAAAGACTGAACCAATTTGCATTGGCTAGTAAAAATTTATCTTTGCCAATTTGGTAGTTTTTCATGAACAGTCAAAGAAATTAATAAAATTCCATAGATTTGTAAGTCATTTATTTCCATTTGACATTAACTAAAATGAAAAAAAGAAAGATTGATTGAACAAAAAGTGAATAATATACCAACAAATCTTTCTTTGAAATGATTTGATGGACCACACTCAAACATGTTGTTGGCCAGATGCAGCCCATGAGCTGTAATTTGACCATTGTTCTAGACAGATTACCACCCAAGATTAGAAAGCCTAGTCTGTCTTGCTATTTAATCCATAGCTGGTTATTCATAATGTATTCATGGCTTTCCCGAGGGCAATTGTGTGAAAGTAAATGTAAAAGTCCAGCTGAGAATCTGAACTCAGTTTGTTTATTTCACTGACGTCTGTTGTTCTACCTGCAGAACCTCTTTAATGTTTATAAAAACTGTCAAACCTCTGACTACAACTTACAGGAAAAAACATGTGAAAATTTCAATTGTTCATTCATGACATAGTAAAATAACTTCCATTTAGAAAAAAGCTTATTCAATAAAACCATGAGCGCAATGTCGATGTGCTCTTGAAAATAATTATGCACCCAGGTCAGGAGTTTCATTTATATCCATGATGGTGGCCAATATTGAGTCACTAGAATTGAGAGATTTCTGGTTAGACTTTCTCTCAGCACTGACCCTATTGCAATAGTCCAAGAGACTCTAATCAGAAAAGCTAGTTGGCCACATTTTGAGGAGACATGATCATAAAAACTCTCAGACAATCACTCTTGCATCATGTAAACCATGTGGGGGAAAGTAGATCCCTTCTGAAACACATATGGCCATATCCTCAATCCAGGGTTTGACCACCATATCTCTCACCTTAATGTAGGTGATGGCATTGATTCTGAAGCCCTATAGGAAGAAATTGGGTGACATTACACATCTCTCATAGCTATATTATGAAATTTGGGTACCTCTTCATATGTTCATGTGATACACATAAAGCCATCTGTCATGACTACTGTTCTCCTGGCCACAGTGTTGGATTTACCTATAGGCTTAGCAAGCTGAAGCCTAGGGCCTCAAAATCTAGGGATACCTCCAGCCAAAGTGTATAATATTTTTAGCACTATCATAGACCTTTATTACTCATACTGTCATAATGCATTGTAGATTTGAAACAACCCTTCAGTAATTTTAAACACTCCATTGGTTTTACTCAAATTGTTTAATTTAACACTCTTTCATTTTCCTCTACTCATGAGAATGGGAGATTTGGAGGGGCATCACAAGTGGAGTAGCCTATGGCTTCTCTTCATCTAAACCTCGCCCTGCCAGGCCACTTTTAAGATATTTACTATTTCCAAGTCTGTGTAATTGGTTAGTGTCTAGTACCTTGAGCATTATATACCTTTACATTTCCTGCATCTGATTGGAAGTTGCCACGTTAATGACTTAAAGAGAAATGTGAATATTGAAATTTGGAAAACACTGTGTAACAATGTGTTGCATTTCCTTTCAATTATAACCTGTGTCCAAAACATATAAAGAGAAATGCAAAAAAAAAAATAAGTATACACTAAGCTCTGAAGGGAGAGGATTGATAATTGTTTCTTTTTTTTTGTTGTTTCTTTTTGTTGTTTCTTTTTTTGTTGTTTCTTTTTTGTTGCTTCTTTTCTAATTGTTTGTTTCAGTTTGACTGGGGAATGAATTTAAAACACTTTCCCCTGCTCAATTTATAAGCGGAAGCACACAAATGCATGCTGGGATTTTTTCCTAACCAATAAAATAGGCCTGTTCTCAGTTTTATCTGACTCAGTCCTGGTCTGCTTTGTCTTAAAGTCAGAACATTACATTTGCCTGTCAGAACTTGCTTTTGTGTATTAAACCCAATTCTTAGTTTGTGTACTTTTACCATATTACCGTTGCTTTGATGTATTACTGTTGATTTACTTTTCATATGTTGTTTGCTTGCTTTATATTATTTTTCACCCTGTTCTTTTCTTTTTATTGCAAACTTTGTCAATTTTGTTTGTTGAACAGTTCTGTTACATATTTTGCATTTAACCATGGCTACTCACTCTACACTAATTATGTATTACTATATTCTTCAAGAAATTTACTAAACATAGTATCTTAATTCTTTGAGGCATTTTTTTATATGAGAGAATATATCTAATTTTCTATATACCATAACCACGTTAGTCAAATGACAACACAGAAACATTTCTGTGTAACATGTTTCATTCTTTAGTACATTCCTGTCAGTACATAATTCTAACCAACACTTGCATTTTTACATTACCTCACTTCTTCCTACACATATGTAATTCCATTAATAAAATCATTACTTTAGTTTAAAGTTCTAAAGGATGAAATGTGTTACACAGAAATTTTTCCATTTTAGCACTCATTGTACTAAATCTGTTCTTCAAATAAAGACGGGTTCATTCTGGCATTTACAA